CCCGCGGGCAGCTTTCCCAGCCGCTGCTGAGACCTGCTGGCGCTTCCCGGAGTGCGGGATGCAGATGGCTGCACTGCTGCGTCGGGGCCGGGGAAGCTGCAGTCGGGGTCTCTCAACCCTTTGAGGACTCTCTGACCCGGAGAGTTAACTGCTGGAGGGACAGACGCCCTCTCACTGAGGCGCTGAGCACCCCCAGATTCCCCCGCACGGCACCCCGTGACCCTTTGGCGGGCTCAGACGTTCCTGGGCAGAGCGGGGACTCCCCAGCCCGCGCTGACCGGAGCCTCTCCAGTGGCACAGCTCTGGCTGGAGACGGCGTAGCTAAAGGGGATTTACAAATTACTAATGCTCCGGCCGGAGCTCATCCCCTTGCCGGTGGCTTCTCCCCTGGCTTGGGAGAAGCCCTAAAGGGGGGCTCCTTCCTGGGGGGCATGGCAGAGGTAGGCGGGAGTGCGTGGCTCACGCAGGCGAGCCCAAGCCTTTGCAGAGCGTGTCTTTCTCCAAAGCATTAGTCGGTCATTAAAGCAGCAGGAAAAGAGCCTCCCTTGTCCCGGCCTCTGCTTCGGTTTTACTCTCAGCTTCTGACATAACCAGGTCACTCTTTCCACACGTCCCCAGCCTAGATGAGAGCCGATTACTGATCTGGATGGACATGACTCACTGCCTTTTCTAATGAGCGACTTTCCTCTGCCGGTGTACTTTGGCGGGGCCTTTCACGTACCTAAAAAAGGAGAAGGGTGGCACTGGGGAGAGGGCAGGGGAATCTAAATTGCCGGCATCTGCACCCAGCCCCGGTGAGCTGTTTCTCACCATCCCCTTGGACTCCGGCCAGGTGTGAAGTTGCTGCTTTTGAGCATGAACAAGGCGTAGCTAACCTTCCACGTGCTAATCCGGGTGAAATGCTGTCCAGGCCCACAGGTAGGCTGCCCAAACCCTCAACGAGTAATTGGAGCTAATTAGGCTGGGAGATTTTATGTTAATATCCGTCCAGGCAATGCCTGTGGTAACAAGCACCGTGCAAACCCAGAACCACCTTACCCCAGGGAGGTTTGCCAGCGGGAGGTTGTCCAGGCCACAGCAGGGCGAGTTGGGCTTTCCTTTTCCCTTGCACAGACATGGTCTCATCGGGCAGCTGCCCCGCTCATGTGGCATTGCTTGTGTTTTGCAGTGACTAAGCGGAGGAAGCTCTTGTTGTCCTAGCACTACCAGGCCAGACAACCCTTCCCTTGGCTGAAGATCCCGTCGGATCTCTTCCCATAATGGAAGCGTGAGTGCCAAGATCCTCCATGACCTCCAGAAGCCACAACTCCTTACCGAGAACTCTGATGGCTCCACGAATGCTTTCCGAAGGTGCCCTCGGGGGCATCGCCCAGATCACCCCCTCGCTGTACCTGAGCCGGGGCAGCGTCGCCTCCAACCGGCACCTGCTCCTCTCCCGGGGAATCACCTGCATAATCAATGCGACCATCGAGATCCCCAATTTTAACTGGCCCCAGTTTGAATACGTGAAAGTGCCTTTGGCTGACATGCCCAACGCCCCCATCTCCCTGTACTTCGACAGCGTTGCCGACAAGATAAACAGCGTGGCGCGGAAGCACGGGGCCACCTTAGTCCATTGTGCCGCCGGCGTGAGCAGGTCGGCCACCCTCTGCATCGCCTACCTGATGAAGTACCACAAGGTATCCCTCTTCGAGGCATACAACTGGGTCAAATCGAGACGCCCCGTTATACGCCCCAACGTGGGCTTCTGGAGGCAACTGATAGACTACGAGAGGAAGCTCTTTGGGAAGACGACGGTTAAAATGGTACAGACACCATATGGCATCATCCCAGACGTTTATGAGAGAGAGAGGAGACCCCTGATGCCTTACTGGGGAATTTAATGTGACTGCAGACAGGAAGCACAACAGAAGGGACGCGCTGTTCTGAGTCGACCAGACTGGAGACATTCCCTTCTCCTTCTACAGCCAACTTTGGTTCTTTACCACTCAGCAGAACCTCAACTAATTCTCACCTCACTAACCTGCAAGGCCAACGATTCCCTTCAAAGCATTTCTCTCTACAGGGATTCCCCCACCCGCATTTCTCTGATTTAGCAGAATGAGGTCTCCTTATAAGTTTATTCCTTTCATAAAGCCTCCCTCCCTTTTTTAGTCAGTTTATTAGTATCCTACGAGGAAAGGCCTAAGAGGCATTTGGCAGAGTTAATGAACAAAGTGCGCTTTGTGATGCGGTAGCCTGGATATTTCGTTAATAGCTTGTTTGCTTCCTTGCAAAATCCCGTAGTGGCTAGGGAGCGGCACTAGCACGGAACGAGCGAGGTCCTACTCTACGGCAGCGGGTTTTTTCGAGCGCCAGGAAGGCAGGCGTGCGGGGAGGGGTGCTAGTGCTGGTGTTTTCTTTAACATCTGTAGTGACTCTCAGTATATAGTGTTTGAGATCTTTAGTCAGCTCTTAATCTGTATTAAAAGTTTTAAAAAAAAAAAAAAAAGTGAAGTCAGTCCATGTCGGCCACAAGTAAAATAAAATTTGAATTATTCAAATCAAATAAATACAAGATCCTTTTTCAGTCATTCGATGCCAGGGCAATAGTCCTGGAATACACTTACACTACTGAAAAATGCTGGTGTTTTTTGTGGGTGGAAAGTAAACAGAGATCTTGTCCAAACGTGGCTCAAGACAGACGCGAGAGGTTAACCCTCCCCGCACTGGACAGCCAAAGAAACGTTTAGGAAACTGTGCGCACAGCCGCCTTCCAAGGGGCTGAGCTGTGTTTTCTAATATTCAATCAACCAGTAAATTGGAAGTAGGTAAATCCGCTTGATTACTTAGCTCTAAGTATGGTCGTGATCTGCCTTAGCCCATTTCTAAATCACTTCATTATGTCCTCAAGGTTATGTTGCATTCTAGAATTATTCTGCGCAAAATGGCGATCTGTTCAACCTCCCGGACAAGGATGGCTTTACGGAGAAGGCTTTGCCTTGTTCTGCATGAGATGAGAACGATTCCAACCCGAGACGCGGGAGAAGCCTTTCCACGGCGTAGCCGCTGCCTCCTGGACGTCGCTCCCCTCCCCGCGGATGGGAAGGGACTGGTTTCATCAGAGCGTAACGGCCACCAGGAGAGCAAGGCAAGCCCGTTCCTCAATGAGACGTTTGTGTCCTCTGTTGCATCTCTGAAGGAGGAATACGCAGATTGCTGGATGCCGAGATAGCTATCTGATTTAAATGAGATTCTATACTTGTAAAAAAAAAAAAATCAATAAAGATTAAAGAAGAACATGTGGTGGTTTCCTATTCAGAACTGTGCTAATGCATCTCAAGTAACAGCAAGAACGTGGCGTAATACCGAGCGGTGGCTTTAAACAGATCTGGACCTCAGTCTTGAGAAAAATACCGTGATCTGTTCCCCCGTTCCCAACACTCGGCTGATCAGTTCCCAATCCATCCGGGTGTCCTGCAACTCCTGGTCCTCATCCCCAAAGCCAGGCAATTAATTTGGCTATTTCAAAGTCTTTATCTTCCAAAGTCCTAACTGAACAGCCGAGGTTTTAAGGAACGCTAGACATGGTTAAAGGTTTTCTCCAAGCTGAACCACACTGTGGGAGGATCGCAGCACACGCAGGTTTCTGGTTTCCCCCGACTGGGGCCGAAATACGGTTATTGCTGATAGAAAACTCTGCAAATGGCCTCGACCTCGTCTGGATCAGGAGTAAAACCAAACCTGGTTGGAGTAAAAGTCTAGATCAGAGTGAATTTGAAATTTCCTGCAGAGACAAGTTTTACCAGACTGGGCAAATGCCACTTGCTTAAACTTACTCAGAGGGGAAGGAACCGGTGCTCTGGAATTTCCAGGCTCCAGTCAGAGGTCCGGCGAGGACTGCGTAGGAGTTCACTGACTTACGGGGGGATGCTTGGTGGCACATGGGCACGAGAGAGCTCTGTCCACCCCACAGGCACAGAAGTCAGGTTGGCCATAGCTCCAGGAACGCCAAACCTGCGCAGAGAGCCGCCGCCGCTGTGAAATGAGTTACTGCAAACCCCTCAGCGTTGCAAGGGCACCCAAAGCCCAAGTTTCCTGCGTGCACGTATATATCGCCCCCATTCCCCCTGCAAACCCTTCTTTTATCCGTTATCCAGGACGCGCTCAGACAAAACAGCACATACAAACCCCCAAATACTTCAACACCAGTTTTCCCAACAATATCGACACGGATCTCCGTGTCCTTCGGCATCATGAGTCCAACGCGCAGCCCCGCGCTGGCAGGGAGAGGTCTGCTCCTGCTTTTGCAGAAGTTTTGGCCCACGGAAATAAAAGTGAATTTTGCTATCGGCTGCGTGCGGTTCAGGTTTCCTGGTTGTGTCTCTTGGCCTCGGTTTCAGTGACAAACAGGCGTAGGAGACGGGCTGTCCGTTGAAAAAAATAGGTTCTACTCATCTCTCTATTTTTATCACAAGTAAAACGGCAACCAGGGAAATGGTAAGTGAGAAAAGGAACTAGAGATTAAAAATCAAGACTAATCATTAGTCTGGAGACATTCCGAAAGCATGACATTTCAAAGGGAAAAAAACCTAAAACCTGAAATCTGCTTGCAAAATTAAACTTTACCTAAAAAATGGACTATGTATCATTTAACAGTATTTCCTATATAAAAACTGGAAGGTGAAAATTCTCCATTTGAATGATTACACAGGCTTTAAACACACACTGCCCTAGTACCTAGGGGAGGGGAAGATGCTGATGTTCAGCCAAGAAAGCATCAGGACTGACTTTTAAACAAAAGGGAAAGTTAGACCTATAAAAATGTAATTGCCTAATAAAGCACATTAGGAAACAAAAAATTCACCTGAAATACCCATTAGAGATTATATTATGCAGAAGCGCCATGGTATTAATACTTATAGGTATTTCTTTGCAAAAGTTCCTCTTGTGGTCATTCCAACAAAAGAGATTTTACACGAGTGTTTTTCCCCCTCAAAATCCAGTTTTTCACGCGTCCTCAAATCTATAGAAACCAAAGGAGAGCGCCACAGTTTAACTCCGGATCGCTGTAAGCACACCAGCTGGATTTGAGGGGAAGATCATTTTTCCTGCTCCCCATCGGCTTTTCCAAACGGCCGATATCTTAACTGCTTGAAGACTGTTTTATATGTTATTCGGTGAGACATCTTTCAAATACTACCCACAAAGATGGTTTCACTCATACAGCTTCATCATGTTTAAGGCCCTTTTTGTCAACCCTTCAGGGCTTCTCCCAAGTTACGGGAAGATTTCGCCCTGCCCGGGTGATTGCGTGGAGGGGCAGAGCCCGCGGAGCTCCTTCCGGGGACAACCACCACCTTTGGGTACCAGCAAGCTGCAAAAACAACATTATTTTTTTTCTAGCTGCATCCTGAAACAAGCCACTTCACAGGTTGGTCAGATATGAAATGAGCTCTTTATTGAATACGAGGTTTGAATCTCAATAAAGGATTTATAAATCATTGCAAGAATTAAGGGAGTAAACTATGTACTAAAGTCAATTAATAACACTTATTCTCATTGGATTTAAAATATCAGCAGTGACTCCAGCATAGCACAAACTGAAACGGCTCCAACGACTAATCGCAAAACCACTTCTGGAAGAGAAGTAATGTTTGCCCACAGGGCAGAATAAAGAATCACAATATAAATAGAAGTTTTCTGACCACTTTTCTTCATAAAATTATGACATTCCTATTTTAATATTGAGAAGAATTAAATACAGGTCCAGAGAGGGGGAAAAAAAAATCTTTCAGAAAAAGCAAATTGTACAATAGCAGCTTTTATTGAAAAGGCAGGTTTTGGTTTGAATTTAATCTGACATGTAGCTAACTGGAAATCGGACCATTCCTTGGGTTTTCATGAGCTTCTGCTCAACCTTAGGTTGAACTTCACTATCACTTCATATATACTGCACGAATTTCAAGGAAGGAGCTGCTCAAAACAAACCCAGGTGAAGAGAAGCTGCTTCCAGAGAGGAAGAGTCAGCGGAACGGTCAAGTGCAGAACGTAACAATTCCCACACCGCAGAGGACCTCTGAGAAGCTCAGCAAACTTGGGGAGATACTCAACCCAAACCGTGCGGCGGATGGGCAGGGGAACAGGCTGGAGCAGTCTGTTGGCTCCCAGCACTCCTGCCAGCCAGGAAAAGCTGCAGCACACGAAGACAGCACAGAAGCATCAGGAATACAACTGGGCAAAGTGATATATACATTAAATAACCAAGCAAATAATCTCTTAAAATTCCAAATATACACAAATATATAGAAAAATCACTTTCCATAGGTAATCCCAAGGCAGCTCCAGAGAACACAAACATTAAAAAAAAA